ACGCCATAAGCAGATTCAGCCAGAAATTTCTTTAACTGCAGCTATAGAAACATTATAAAAAGCGTGGAACAAGAAAAATCCATTTTGCTCATCAAACCATATTTATTCCACAGGCAATTTGCTCAATCCTAGACTCATCCCAAATGTTTCAGTCTTGCGGGTGAAAGGTCCACCACATTTCTTTCTGATCGCAGAAGGTAATCGAGTGAAACTCCAGGTTATTAATCTAACCTTAAATCTGCATTATCCGCCCAGTTGTGTTTCACAGATGACATTTCCGTGTTTCCTAGCAGTACAGGAAGCATTCTGTTTTCCAAAACACTCAATCTTTGTTTTTAGACTTGTATAACCCTTAATAACATTCTTAAATAAATATCTTCCAGATCTTTTTGATGGAGTTAATAGACCCCGGTTTAACTTTTGCTGGAGTCTGTTCCATGTACAGTATCTATTGCTCTGTGGGGAAAACATTCCTCCTTATCTCCATTCTGCTGGAAGCTTGTTAATGTTCTTATTCTTCAGTTCTATGTCACTGTCCAACTTAAATACCCTCAACATTTTCATTACGTTTTCTCTCAATCTTTTCCTCCAACTCAAAATGTTCAGAACTGTATCTCTTGATAGCTTGGAGTGAAGCTGAATCATTGCAATATACTTTTTTCTCTGAACTTTCTTAAATATCAGTGTCCTTGTTGGGGCACTGTGTCCAAGAGTGCTGACATTGGGTTGAAAATTGTGGCACTTAATGTGTTAATTATCACCAGTGATAGTATTACATTGTTCATAAATGCCTCCAATACAGACAATAATTGAAGATTGATCTGTGGGTGTGATCCCTCGCCACTGAATCAATGGTTTAGCCCAAAGCAATCCATATTTGCAATCTCACTTTCATTCCATGGAATGCAGCAATTTGGAGTGTCAATTAATGGGTTTATCTCTTATGATGGGTTAAGATATCACTTCAATTTCAATGTGAGGGAGTGGGTAGGATTTTGTCACACTCACCTTTTTTTAGCTATCAACTTTCTTGACCTTAGCAACTATTTGATAATTATCACAGAATATTAGCAATATTCTAAATGTGATTCTAAATTAACTCATTGATGAGTTAATCAAAGGTAAAATAGCCTACAGTCACTTTCAATCAAATGTCCTTGCGCTCGATCACAGTAACTGTTAAGGTATTGATTAGATTATAGCTAAGGATAAAGAAGAATTCTGATTGGTAAAGAATGAACGCCCAAATAAGCTATGCGTTTCAGTTGATCTGAGATTTCCGTGTTTAGAAAGGAGGTGTTGCTGTAAACTCAAGTGAATTATTTACCTCAAAGAAAAGTATAAAAAATTCAAGCCTTTTCAAACAGCAGTAAAGAACTCAATGACGTGCATTTAGCTTTCTGCTAGTTTAGTACGATTTTGAATATAATTAAACCAATGATGAATGTGCAACTCCTTGACTCCATTTTAAAATGTTCATTTCGAAGAATTCTAACAGCAAAGGAAAGTAACTTTTAATACAGAGCGAAACAATGAAAACTAAATGCTTCAGCTCGTCCAGAGAAATGTCAGGAAAATTAATGATGCTATTTTTTTTAAATATAGATTTTTTTTAATGAATTAAAATGAAACTACTAATCCTGGGAATGCTGGGTACGTATAGAGGTTAATGTGATTGATATTCATTGATTGCATCAGGCCCAAATACTTAGTGTTAGGAAATGGAGCTCCCTTTTTCAAATGAAAAAGTGAGAGGAGGCATTGTGCAAAAGAACAACTCTGCTCTTATTATAATTATCGTAAACCACAAGGTCACCGAAGTCTATAAAGTTCCTTTTGTTTGATTTCAAGAGAACAGTGTTTCCAGCTTTGAAGTCAGCCATTTCTCTTTCATCCAGACATGGAAACAGGACTGGGCCATTCAGCCCCTCGAGCCTGTTCCACCATCCTATAAGACAATGGCTGATCTGTACCTGAAGTTCAATTACCCTCCCTTGCCCGTATCCTTAATATCCCAACTTAACAAATGGCTATCCAGCTTAGGCTTGAAGATGTGAATGGATCCAGCATCCACAGTCTTTTGGGGGAGAGAGTTCCAGATTTCCACTACACTTTGGGTGAAAAACTGCCTCTGAATTTCACTCCAAAGTGTCCTAGTTCTAATTTTAAGATTACCCCACCTTGTTCCGGATTCCCCCACCGGAGGAAATAGTTTGTCTGTATCTACCCCATCGAATCCCTTTGTTTTAAAAACCTCAATTTTATAACCTCCTTATATGGGGCTTTATAGATTGTCCATTTATCGCCTCTTACAGAAAATGTTGAACTATCGCCCCCTTCCAAGAGATACTGTACAGTTTCATTTTTGCTTCTGAACTGTTTGTTCCTAACAGTCTTTTTTAATAGTGTCATGAGATCTTAATCTCAACCTGAACATACGTCAATTTAACATCGCATCTGAATGCAATCATATCTGACAATACAGTCCTTTATGGCACTGGAGTGTCAATCAAGACAGTGAACTGAAATCTCGGGACCCATAACTGACAGATCCAGGGCAAGAGTGCCACCAATTGAGCTAACTGAGCACGTTTAGAAATGTTGGTGACATTTGGGAAAAGGGAAGAACTAGGACCACACTTTTGAAGTTCATGGTCATTATTCTACTTCACGAAGAGTTTAATTTTCAAAAACCTAGATATGTATCCATAAAACTACAAGCAATGTGAGCATCTTCGGTCACTGGATCTTTGGCTCAAGTCCTCAGTACAAGTGTCAGTGAATCAGTTGGCACTTCCACTGAGAATTAACGGTACTATTTTCCACGTAAACTCTATGGCATTGGCGTTGAGCCATTCCATCACATTAACACTCTGATCTTTTGATCAGCCAGGCATCTCAAACATCTGGAAGCCCATCACTATGCTTAAGAAAATAAACACCAGACTGAGAGCTCCATGCATCTCACCTACATGTGGCAATTCTAATATATTGAGGTGTTAGTACACTCTCCCCAGAGGGACACATCTTGATTAATTTGAGAGGCTTGTGGACCCCAGAGTGTGTGTCGGAGTTCTGCTGGGGTCTAACCAACCCCATAGATTGATATTGAAAGCACTGCCTGGTAACCTTTCTCGATGCTTGTCCAGCTTATGTCAGCCTGGCGCACTGGTAACATTCTCTCAGATACTTCAATGCAGCGCTGGGGATGTATTGCATTGTTGAAAAATCCGTCCTTCGGATGAAATGCTAAACTGATGTTTCGTCTGCTTGTTCAGGTGAAAGATCACATGGCACTATTTGAAAAGCGAAGGGAGTTTCTCCCAGTGTCCTGGGTAACAATCCCTCAAAATAAAATTGGTCACTCATTCCATGTCTGTTTGTGGCACATTGTTGTATAGAACTGGTTGCCGGGTTTCGCCCACAAGATACACAGTATATCCTGTGAAGTGTTTGAGTTGTCTTCGATGCTGTGTTAAGCTATATCAAATACAACAACAACAAAATTAAATTTGTAAAGCGCCTTTCACATCGGGAGTACGTCCCAAAAGACTGGGGAGTGTGGAGGGCAGGGGGCGAAGCAGGGTGATTGAAAGCACAGTCGAAGAGGAGGGTCTTGAGATGGGTCTTGAAGGAGGCAAGGGATGAGGTGAGGCGGAGGGATTGTGGAATGGAGTTCCAGAGGGTGTGGGCAGAGTGACAGAAGGCCTACCCACCAATGGTGGGGTAGGCAAGGCGGGGGACGTGAAGCAGTCTGGAGCCCGCAGAGCGCAGGGAGCGGGCAGGATGGTAGGGATTTAGGAGGTCGCGGTGGTAGGGGGGAGCGAGGCCATGGAGGGCTTTGAAGATGAAGCTCAGGATCTTGAACTGTGTGATGGGAAGCCAGTGGAGTCAGACAAGGATGGGGGTAATAGGGTAACATTGTCTGGTGCGGGAGAGGACATGGGCTGCAGAGTTCTGGATGATCTACAGCCTATGGAGGAGTTGGGGAGGCCGACAAGCAGGGAGTTTGCAGTCGAGCCTTGATGTTATGAATGTGTGTATGAGGGTTTCAGCGGCCTGTGGTGTGAGACAGTGGCGGAGCTGGTCGATGTTGCAGAGGTGGGGGAAGGCAGAGCAAGTTATGGCTCGGACGTGTGGTATAGAAGATAGTTGAGGGTCAAACAAGACCCCAAGGTTCCGGACTGGCTTAATAAGGTGTAGTGTGTAACCACGGACGGTGATGCTGTCAGCGCCCGAGGTGCGGAGGCGCTGACAGGAGCCAATCAGGAGAGCCTCGGTCTTGTTGACGTTCAACTGTAGAAAGTTAGCTCTCATCCAGGACTTGATGTCTGACAGACATTGTCAGCGCAGCAGAGGTCCTGGAGTCGAGGATGGAGGCAGAGGGGTAGAGTTCGGGTCAGGCAGAGGAGGTTGACCCCATGGTAGCATTGATATAGCGGGTTTCATCCGCGCTTCACAGAACACGTGTAGGATGACTCCATTGCTGCCGGACAAATGATGTACCAAGAGCGAGTGTATAGATATTGAGGAGGAGGGGAGCGAGGACAGAGCCCGGGGGAAGGCCGGCAGTGTTATTATCATTATTCGGGCGATGGTAACCTTTGTGGCTTTGGCTTTCACAGAGTTACCAGGAACCGAGTGGGAAGAACCTCCCATTTCCCCCCTCACCACCCACCAGGACCACGTGCGTGCGCTCGTGCCCTGGAGCGGGACCGCCGGCGGTTGCCGGTGACGTCAAACAAATCAGGGCCGAGGAGGCCGGGGCTGGTGCGAAGGCGGACACGTCACTCACACGGCCCCGCCCGGCATTGTGACGGCATTGGCGCCGCCCCCCCCCCCCTCGCCTGGTCGGGCGGGGACCCCGAGCCCGAGGGACGCTGCGGATTGAGCGGTCGCGGCTGTCAATCATCGCGCCGCGCCGCGCCGCGCCGACAGCTGAGCCGAGCTGTGGGGCAGCAGCGCCAGGGGGGGATCGTGTCCCGATACCCCTTCTGGGGGGAGACGGTGTGGCTCTCGGCGCCGCAGGGGAACCGCAGGCGGAGCGCCATGGAGCGCAAGAAACAGCTGGAAATGGAAAGGTGCATTAAAGGTAAGGCGCCGTGACCGGTCAGGTACAGCGCTGCTGCTTCCCCCCCCGCACACACACACCCCCCCCACCCCCACGTTTTTTTTTGTGCGGGGGGTGACTTGGGGGGGAAAAAAAAAGCATCGTTGTGTTGAGTGGATGGTGAGGTCCCGGTGGGGAGCGGAGTGGGTCACCGCCACCGCCACCGCCGGGCAGGTTCCTGGAGGGGTTGTGCTGTTGTTTTCACGTGGATGATAAACGCAGTGAAGAGTGTGTGTGTGTGTGTGGAGACGAGGAGCCGCTTGGCTCACGCGTGCGGGAGGGGTGGTGGGTGTTGGGGGGTGGGTGGGGAGTGAGGGGGTGGTGGGGTGGGAAGGGGTGGTGGGGGTGAGGGTGGGTGAGGGGTGTTGGGGTGAGGGAGGGGGGGTGAGGGGGGGGGGGGTGGGGTGTTGGGGTGAGGGGGTGTTGGGGTGAGGGGGGAGGGGTTGGGGTGAGGGGGTGTTGGGGTGAGGGGGGTGGGGTGAGGGGGGGGTGGGGTGAGGGGGTGGGGGGGAGGGGGTGAGGGGGTGGGGTGGGTGGGGGTGTTGGGGTGGAGGGGGTGTTGGGGTGAGGGGTTTTGAGGTGTTGGGGTGAGGGGGGTGTTGGGGTGAGGGGGGGTGTTGGGGTGAGGGGTTGGTGTTGGGGTGAGGGGGTGTTGGGGTGAGGGAGGGGGTGGGGTGAGGGGGTGGGTGTTGGGGTGAGGGGGTGTTGGGGTGAGGGGGGGGGTGAGGGGGGGGTGTTGGGGTGAGGGGGGTGGGGTGGGGGTGTTGGGGTGAGGGAGGGGGTGAGGGGGTGTTGGGGTGAGGGAGGGGGTGAGGGGTGTTGGGGTGAGGGAGGGGTGAGGGGTGTTGGGGTGAGGGAGGGGGTGGGTGAGGGAGGGGTGGGGTGAGGGAGGGGGTGAGGGGTGTTGGGGTGAGGGAGGGGGTGAGGGGGGTTGGGGTGAGGGGGTGTTGGGGTGAGGGGTGTTGGGTGGGGGGTGTTGGGGTGAGGGAGGGGGTGAGGGGGTGTTGGGGTGAGGGAGGGGGTGGGAGGGGGTCTTTTTTTTTAACTGCTCGTGAAAAAGACAGCGAGGGGGGAGCAAGTTTTGAGTGGGAAAGGGGTGACTTAAATTTCATCCAACGCCGGGAATAACAGTAAAACCAGACTTTTTTTTCCGGTGCGTGTGTGTGTGTGTGTCTGTGTGTGTGTCTGTGTGTCTCTGGTGTGTGTCTGTGTGTGTGTGTGTCTGTGGTGTGTGTGTCTGTGTGTTTGTGTTTGTGTGTGTGTGTGTGTCTGTGTGTTTGTATTTGTGTGTCTGTGTGTGTGTGTGTCTGTGTGTGTGTGTGTCTGTCTGTGTGTGTGTATGTGTGTGTGTGTTTGTGTCTGTGTGTATGTGTGTGTGTGTTACGAGTCAGGAGGAGATTTCGAAATGTGAGGTTTTTTTACTCACTCCAGTGACTAACTTTCCGTGAACATCTTTTTTTAGTCGTTTTTCCTGCTCTTTTGCAACTCCCAAACGATGCTGCTTTCTTTCCCACCCCCTCACCTCCCACCCCCCTCCTCTCCTCCTCCTCCTCCCCTCCCTTCCCCTCCCCCCCCCCAAAAAAGGAAATCAGTGTGGGTGGAAAATCTTTTTTTTCAAAAAAAAATGCAATTTTAAGAAAATGTCAGTGTCGAGTTTCAAAGTGGGTGTTTTTTTTTCCCCCCAGTGTTGGTTTTGGGTTCAATGCACGAGTTCCTGTTCAAGTTGCACTGCTGTTCATTGCATGAGCTGTTACACTGGTACATTTGGGCGTAAGGGAAGCCAAACAAAAGCTTTTTTTTTAAAAAAGGGAGGGTCTGTGATTTATTGTTTGGGAAGGTAGTGATGTAGAGATTCAATCTGAGGGCTGTTTATTGTGTATTCTAGTCACACACACATGCAAGAGGGTTACCCAGGGGATAGAGGAAATCACCTGCCTGGAGGGCACTTTAAAACACCACAGCACAGATTCTCTGTCAAAGGGCATTTCGTTCTGGTCAGCGAGAGTGTCGATTGCAGTCCAGGACCGTCCCGAGCCATCCCTTGCACGTATGCATGTGCCAACCCCCTCTGCTGCTCCTCGTCTGGGTAGCCCGTCAATAAATGCAAATCGCTTTTGCGTTTGGCACTCGGTCACTGACACGAGCCCTCTTTGATCGTTGTAATGTGCAATGTGCATTGTTTCCAACAGCAGAGAGAAAGAGAGAGAGAGAGCGAGAGAGAGAGAGAAAGAAAAGATATATAGCACGAAGATAACCGAAGATCGATTGTACAAAGGTGGTCCTTGTGCGGTTGCGAGCAATGGCTCTCCCAAGGGAGTGACTGTTGTGATTGATCCCATGCGTGTAATGGATAAGGCTGCGAGCGGACAGCTGGCCATTCTTGTCCAGGTTGTTCAAGCCAATCGAGATCACGTTCTATGTCGCAATTAAACGATATAACCCGAATATTTATCCACAGGTAACGTGAACAGATTCCAACGTATTCAATGCCTCAGTTTGTCATTTTTTTTTCCCCTGTCCTTTTAGGAATTTTTTTTCCCCCCTGTCATTTCAGCACAGGCTCCCTAGGGAGACAGACAGTAGAAGCAGAGAGTGTCAATTCATTCAAATGCAAATGAGCTAGATTTCGTTTAGAAAATATTATTTGGGGATACAGTGTCTGAGTAATTTGATGCATGACATATAGTCAGTGTAGTATGCTTGGAAGAACTAGGCAACTTTGGATCTAAGGTTCCCAAAGCTTTCTCCTGTGTTGATAGACTAATCCATACAGAATTAATTAATTATCAACATAATAATTTGAGGAGTCCTGTAGCTCAGTGGTTAGAGCACTCGCTTTGCAAGTGAGAGACCTGAGTTCAATTCCAGGCAGAGGGCGAAACCTTGGGCAAGTTTCCTTACTCCACACAGAGCCTAATAATAATCCTTCCAAAAAACAATAATAAATTGGTCATTTTCAATCTACGACTGTTTGTGGGACATTGCTGTGCGCAATTGGCTGCCGCGTTTGCCCACAGTCAATTACAGTCAATTCACTTTACAGTGTGTTCTGTGAAGCGCTTTGGGACGTCCTCCCGACGTGAAAAGCGCTATATCAAATGCAAGGATTATTATTATTATTGTAGCATGTGACATGACTATCTGGATGGTAGAAGGAAGGAGAGTTGGACTTTGGTCTTTTTCATCTAGCAGTTCCTATGATTTGATAGAACATGATAGAATGTTTTTACAATTCTGAATTGTATTTTAAGACCAAACGCACACACTTTACAGGGTTAAAATAATACTCTTATGTTGTTTAAGTACTTACCTAAATCATCGTATTTCAATAGAGAAATAAGCCTCTTTGAAACAGCACACTACTCTGGGCTTTAGTGTTTACCCAATACTTTTTTTGTTGTTGTTTGGAAGCCTGTAGTGAATGGAAAAAATATACTGTGGATTTAATGATAATAATATTTGCATTTCTTATAGTTCCTTTCATGTCAGGTGGGTATCCAAAAGCGTTTCACAGCATATACTGTAAAGCGTAGTAACTGCATTTTATAGGCAATTGCAGCATCCAATTTGAGCACAGCAGTATCCCACAACAGCTGTAAAGTGAATGACCAAATTCTTGGTAGTTATTTTAAAAAGCACTCTTATTCCTCATCAGTAAATTTGTACTGAGTTCAAAATGATTTTAAAAATAAAATACTAATAATAATCTTTGCATTTGATATAACGCCTTATGTCTTCAAGGCAATTCAAAACCTATTTTGTGGGCGAAAAAGGTATATTTCAGATCATTATAACACTAATAGAGCGCAGATAGTGGAAGGAAAATCAAGATTGGAATGTCTTAAAACGGAGAAACAAACTTGTTACTTTTATTAATTGATGTTGGAAACAATTCATGATTTCTATTTCCAGTCATTTGTTCCAAGTTGTTCATGTAGTAGTACCATATGTGCATCATACATTCATAATTTAAACTGTATGATCTTTATGATTTTCTGCTACAGTAAAACTCAAGTTCTTAAGTCTTATCTTTATAAATTGTATGATCGCCTAAGTCATACATCCACCCATTCAGTTTCCCATCAAAACCACTCAGATTTCTTTGCACATATTAATCACCTCCTATCTTGTAACACCACCTTCTTACCCCCTCGCTTACCAGCTGCATTGAATCGCGGGAAATGATGTCCTGACCTGTCGACGCTTGCGCATTTACCGGCCAGCTGCATTTAATTGCAAAAACCATAGGCTTGATTGACGCACGTGCAGATGACTTTATTTCCCGCGATTCAATGCGATTACAACACTTAAGTGCGCATGCAGCAACGATTCAAGACTCATTGAATCATGGGAAACATAGTCTTGACCTGTCACTGTGTGCACACTGACCGGCTACAGTACCGCATGTGCGTTTATCGTTTGCATTGAATTATGTATGGGCTGTGTAGATTATTGATTAAATCAGATTTTATTCGACTTATGCAAGTTTGCTTGCAACTCGGACTTCATGTGAGTTGTTTTAATTGTTATGGTCCCGACTGATGCAACTTATGTCAGCTTTATCGTACGTTGGACCACACCACTTCTCCCCTGTTTCCTCAAGCCGTGCTCTTTCCCTGCAGCAACAGACCCTTGGATACTTTTGTCAATATCATACTTTAGTGGTAATAACTTTTTACCTTTATCAGAGTTAGCAAGTGTCAATGACTGGAATGAACAATCTTTTAGTTTTTGCACTGATCTTGTCTCATCCCTGATAATTTTCAGATAGAGAATACACAGAATCTGTTTCTTGGGAAACTTAGTAGCACAGTTTAATGTGGATTTTGGGCTTCATTGTCCTTTGCTTGAATGAATGCAGCTTGTGATCTATTTTGGGGTATGGGGAAAATAAATAATCAGAGATGGCCCCATTCTGAGTTACCCTTCTTGTGGTCAGTTATTAAACGCCATCAATGATAAATCAAGAAGCTCAGAGTTCA